TGGTAGAGTTTAGATAAAAGAATATTATGGTTCACAGTATCAAATGCTTTAGAAAAATCTAAAAAAACACGACAGGTAACCAGCTTTTTTTCCATTGCCTGTTTGAGGGTGTCAGTGATCTCAAAAATGGCTTGCTCTGTTGAGTGCCCTTTCCTAAAACCAAACTGATATCTATACAGGATGCTGTGTTTTTCCAGAAAATCATATAGTTGATTATAAATTAATTTTTCAAATACCTTACTGAAAGGTGAAAGAGTTGAAATGGGCCTATAGTTTCCTGGGTCAGTTACATCACCACTTTTGTAAACCAGAGTAACTTGAGAGACTTTCATTCTCGATTTGAAGTTGCGACAGGAACGATTGGACATGGTGTCAGATGAACAAAAAGAACTGTAAATTAATTCGAATGTATCATCACGTGAAATGTAAATGGAACCTAGGTCACGTGAGATGTCGACCTTTTAAGTGTTTTATTTGTAACGGAGTCAATTGGAAGGATGTGAATGTAACGTCTGACACCGTCTATCATGAAAAAGTGTTTGGTTCTTAACGGTCGAGCGGTGATGTTAGGTAATTGTTTGCAACAAGTTTTACATTTCATAGATGACGTTAAAGAAAATTTAACCATCTTTTTTCCTTAGAAAAAATGGATGTGAAGACCAAAGTAAAATTGAGTCGAGAAATTGAGAGCTACTGGGATTTACTGCCATGGCATATTGCGTCTAGAATTGTGGATTTGAAAATAAGTCAGGAACATTTAGATGAGGTGGAGAAAGAAAAAAGAAAGAAATTATGCGAGGAGATTGAAAAGTTTCACGCGTTGAAAATGAAATGGGAGATAGGATCTGTTTTGTGTAAACCTCTGTTGATTCCATGCGAACCTGGGGTGAATGAACATTGTGATTGTAAATGGTATGGAAAGTATGTAGACATATCAGGTCAACAGAGAAGGGCCTTTTTGGCGTTTAATTTGGATCAGGCTATCAGACGATGTAAGTCTTTCATTTATTATAGAATAGATACGATTAATGGCACACAGTTTTTTGTTTGAAAAATAGGGCGTCGTCCCACTAGGGGAATGACACATGTCCCACCTGTAAAAGGTTATTGAATATTCATTAAAATGTTTTTTTCAGAAAAAAATGGCTTGGTTTAATCCTGTGGATCACTCCATTCAATTTGTAGTGTGTTCTCAATCTGACTTGAAGGACGGTGAAAAGCTCTTCCTGTTGGAATGCTGCAAAGAGGGGGTGCACAAGTCCTGTCTGAGGGAACCACCGAACGGTGGGTGCTTGGTTTGCCCCAAATGTCGTATTGAGACTTGCGTTCACGATCACGTGATTCAGAACGATCACTTTTCTGAGAAGGACATGGATCTCATTGATCTGTGTTTCTTGAAGCATCAGGTGGTCTCGCGCATTCCTATGACGCAGAAGGAGATCCATGGGCTATGCGTGGCCGTCAATGTGCCCGGGTTGAACGCCCTGTGCCATGTGTCATCACGTCTTTTTGATGGGTCTGGTCTTTTGGACGCCTCTTGAGAAAAGGTTCTACTACGAGTGGGAGGATGTAGCCGCTCGCCTGTCCCTGGGTCTGATCTACAACAATCTGTCTGAGATGTGTTACCGCTACGATTTGCGCGTGGAGAGGGATAAGAAAGGGGATGCCTTTCACCATTTTTTGGATCACTTGCTGGAGTGTGCCATCCACGATGAGGAGGTGGTGACTCGGGCTTGTGTGGTCAAGACCTGCCGCTGTCCCCATTGCCTGGAATGTCAAGGCTTTGCATCTATGTTTGATAAGGAGCATATGTCCAATATAGTGGCCATTGCCAACTGCAGTTATTTTTACGATCGCGTGGATAAAGGGATCTTTAACAATTTTAGAGTGGCTTATTTGAACACCGAAAAGAAGAAGAAAGCCCAAAATAAGTGAACACATGTATCTTTAATCAAAACGTGATTAAAAAAAGTTACAATTTCCATTGTTTCTTGGCTTGCATGATTCTTTTCACCACCCTTTCCGTCATGGTCTTTCTACCGGGTAACCTGTCAATAGCTTTGATCATCTTGGTGTCGGCTTTCCACTTGTCCTGTATATTCTTGGCTTGACTGTAATTGATCTCGTGTTGTTTGCCTAGTCGGTCCAAACGATTGATGCCAGGATCTCCTCGGGCGAGTTGTTTTTTCAGTTTGGTGCCCGGTCCCATGTACTGATACCCCGGCCAATGAAATTCGATCCCCGTCTTACTCAACAGTTTCTGAATGTCAAAGCCATAGCCGCGTTGCTTCAGGCGTTCAGCCGCTGTGGGTTTGCACTTCTGGGGTTTCTTGGTGACTTTCTTGGGGCTGTAACCACCCTCTTCATCGTCGGTGTCGTCGTCAATTGATTTGGGATCTTGACCAAGGCTCTTTAAAAAGCCTTTTTTGGCTCCACTCAAAACGCTTTGTTTCAAACCACCCAATTTGGGCTTCTTACCACTTGATGGAGGTATGGGTCGTGGTATTAGGCTAGGTTTACTACCTGATGCAGGCTTTTTACCGGCCTTGGGTTTTTCGGGCAAGAGTCGTCGCAGTTTGACTTCCTTTTTGATCCCCGAGGGACCAGCCACCACTGGTGTTGACACCTCTTTCTTGATCCTGGCGGGGGTTTGACTTTTGATAACTTGTTTCAACAAGTTTTCCAAGGGACTGTCCAGGGCTTCTTCATCCGGTGCAGGGGCACCCACGCCAGCCCGTGGGGCACCTCCTGTGTGAATCCGTTTGGTCAATTGAGTCTGTTTACAAGCCAAGGGTTTGGCCATCTTGACGGCAATCCCGTCGGGAATGGTGGGATTCCCTAAGATCAATTGTTTTTCAGCGCCTAGTCGTGCTGCTTTGTTTAACAGGGCACTTTGGGAAATCTGTCCTTTGTAGTAATCTTGTAAACGTTCGAATTCACTGACCGCCACCATCATGACCTCTTCTGTCATATTGCAACACGGTTTCAAAACAGTCTTGCCAGTAACTTGCTTTTTGGTGGGCTTTTTCCAATTTCAATTGCAGACTCTTGATGGTTTCGTCGGGGTTGGCGCAGGTCTTGCAGGGGATGATGACGTCTTCCACGTCGTCTTGGACTCGTATGCAATCGTCGCACCTGTTACCGTATTTTAAAGCCAAATGTTCCTGTTCGAGAGCTC